AATTATTTCAACTTATAATAAAACATAGTGATAAAATCTCATTCATGGTTTACAAAGTAACTTCCATGATTATTTTTGAGTTAAGACCACCTGCTTTAATCAGCACAAAATGAAACCACATACTCAGAAGCAAACAGAACAAAACGGTGACATAGAACCAATTCTGACAACAGCTGCTTATTACTTTTTTATTCTTTGAGGACGATGTTTGTTTTTAATGTGAAATGTGGCAGATATTAGAGTAACTGAACGAAAAGCAGATGGCCTTGAAAATACCTCAACAGTTCCAATTTTACTGGTACATTTTATGCAGTCATTGAGGCAGTTGGAAGATAATTTTTAAAAAAACTGTTATGGAAAATAGAGAAGAAAAAGACAAAGGAGTCTTAATGAAGACATGATCAATTCTCATTCCATATGTGCACAAAGTGCAAAAGAGAATGGTGCCATAAAATATGGAACTTGAAGATGTTAGTAAGAGGACGATACACACACCACACACTTGTGAAACTCGATCATCACTCACATATTTTTACTTATGACAGCAAGACATAAGATGTTACAACAGACTGAAATATATTTTTTAAATAAATCACTGCTAACATGTGTATAACCTATCTTCACTATCTTANGCTTCTTAGGGAATATACTGAACTGAGACAAACTAGCAAATAACTTCCTAAAAATGAATACAAATGCCACATAAGCTTTCAAGGTTTAGTATACTACCTCTTAACTCTTTAATGCTGCATGTCCTCCTAGAACTCCCACTCCATTTGGATTTCATGATTTAAATTGAACGGTTTTGGGAGCAATGTCTACAAGAGGACCAACATACTGAAAAGAATCTATGAAGCCACCCTTCACTCAGTTTTAAAATTATCAGAAACAAGTCATCATAGCCATGTAATAAACAAGATGCAGAAACGTTTTTATCATTGTTGAATCTGAGGTTCTCAGAGCAATGACTGAAGGNTTATTACTTTTTTATTCTTTGAGGACGATGTTTGTTTTTAATGTGAAATGTGGCAGATATTAGAGTAACTGAACGAAAAGCAGATGGCCTTGAAAATACCTCAACAGTTCCAATTTTACTGGTACATTTTATGCAGTCATTGAGGCAGTTGGAAGATAATTTTTAAAAAAACTGTTATGGAAAATAGAGAAGAAAAAGACAAAGGAGTCTTAATGAAGACATGATCAATTCTCATTCCATATGTGCACAAAGTGCAAAAGAGAATGGTGCCATAAAATATGGAACTTGAAGATGTTAGTAAGAGGACGATACACACACCACACACTTGTGAAACTCGATCATCACTCACATATTTTTACTTATGACAGCAAGACATAAGATGTTACAACAGACTGAAATATATTTTTTAAATAAATCACTGCTAACATGTGTATAACCTATCTTCACTATCTTAATTTAGTCTCTCAGAAATTGTTGTTATTATTAGTACTATAAAATCCTGCCACAGCTCAAAAACAAAGGTTAAGGGGGCTGAGCATTTGCATATTTCAGTACACCACAGAACAAATTAAATCCATAAACTGACTGCATTAACACACGAGAGATCATAGAGAAATTCAAGGACCCCCTTGTAAAAACACAAAGGGTGGAAGAGCTCTAGTTGATCCATGAGAGGGAAAATATACTGATGCCAAAGACAATAAAATATTATGAATATACATACTGTTGGATAATGGTGATGTAATAATCTGTTATGTACAAAGAGCATTAGCCAGAAAAAATATATTTTTTGCTATATTTCCACACAGTTCTGGAGTGACTAAAGATCCAGTTTCACCATCATAAAATCTATGTACACGCACACAGACAGACAGACAGGCACGCGCGCACACACACACACACACATATACAGACATACATTCTCTGTAGAAGAAGTCCATTAGTCTTTCACAGAGGCCAAGAGATTTGTGCAAGTAACTGGTGATTTTGAAGACACGCAATGTTATATCACAACAAGAAATAACTGTTCATTCAAAACACAGTGAATTCTGTAAAATGAATCTCCTCCAGATTAGTTTTCTCTATACTAAACTACAACAAGAAACTTTTCTTCCTATAAGAATTAATGTATATAATTATGATAAAATAACTTCTTTACATAAATAGTTAAATGTTGGATTTTAAGTTCTTAGATTGGTGATAATGAAGAGTAAAACATTCAACGCTATAATGCTATGTACTGCAGTGGGGTCCACTGATATTATCACCACCATATTCAGGTTTCATGATGAAGGCAAGAAAACAGCTAGTAACAAGCAGGTGGCTCTGAATGCAGCCTGCCTCCTGTTTCTTCCATGGCTTACTCTTCAACTCTGAAGATGGAGGCCACATGTTTCTCTGAAATAACAGTTGACTCCCACCAAACTACACAGCACTACAATCCAACAGATCTTGCTCTTCAAATAGTTAAATCTGTATCTATTTATTCCTGGTTTATTTAATGAGACTAGGGAGATGGGATAGCACAGTCAATATAGCAACTGTTTCTATGTCATCTGGACTGGCTCTGGGGCCAACCCAGCCTCCCATCCAATGGGTACTGAGGGCGCTTTCCCTTGAGGTAAACTGGCCCGGGTGTGAAGTTGAATATTCACCTCCAATAGTACCGAGGTCAAGTGTAAGGCTTCATGGAGAAGTGCTTAATTAGTTAAGCATATGGAAAATTTTAACTTTTATTTAATGGCACTGTCAGCAGTATAGGCAATACAGCACTGAATGGTATGATGATTAGTGAATACTAAGTCAGAAAGGATGCAGACTGAATTGGTCCTTGACCTAATTTGAAGTACTAGCCCAGCATCTACATGGAGGGACTGATGAAAACTATAGGAAACCTCAGACAGCAAAATCTGTGTCCTTGTCAAGATTTGAATTAGGCACCTTCCACATATAAGTCAGTAACATTACTGCTTAAGACAATTTTCTTGGTCATAAATAATTTATTCAAATAGGTATAATTATGTAACTAATACCATGAGATAAATACAACAATGTTTAAACACTACCAATTGCAAGATATTTTTGTATGTCAGTTACAATACTAGGGGAGTTACTGGTATATTCAGAAATGTGAGTGGCTTTATATATTGTACTTTTAACGTCCAATGATAAAAAAACAGATCCTCACATCCTTCCTCCACATATACAAAGCCATAACGACTATATTAAAAGCAATCTTGCAATCACCTAACGTAACCAGGGTACATTCTATTTGCGGTTTGTAAGGCTACAACAGACTATTCATTTTGCTAGTAGTGCAAAGTCTAAGTAGACAGGAAGATCATTAGACTTTTCCACATGATCAGCCCAGTGATTTGTGGAAAACTCTTAAGATAATTACTCCATATTTTCCACTAAAAACAGTTCCTACATGTCAACACATGCTTGGCAGGTTAAGGCACAGATGATATAAATATCAGTTCCATCATCAGATGTAGGTTTTGACAACAATGTCGTTGAACATAATAAGGCAGCCTGATCTAAGAAATAGAATTTGACGTAAAATGCGAGTATTTTTGAAACATGGAATGAAATATGTGATGCCTTAGAATTTGAATGTGCTCACAAAGAACTGTACTTAAATATTTCTTTATTGCACAGCATATACTGCTATCAAATATCACAGCAACTCTCATGTTTATTAAATAAAGGGATGGAGAACTTGCCCTCATGACAGTGCCTGCTATTTTTCTGTGGAATGCCTGACAGAGATGATGGATAGTTAATACAAACATTTTAATCCTTGTTGCAAATGTATGTGAAAACTGCCAAAGAAAAATGTGTACTTCCATAATTTATTTTTTAGCTATAATCATTAAAATCTTGTTTTGGCAAACATTATCTCCTTTTATATTACTGATCAGCATTAAGAGGCATGAAGCACTGATGTCACTTATGCATACTTCTGAATAATAGATGTTACGATAATCATTGTGTTATTATTATACTCTGTCCTTGCTATCCCCATTTCATGAAACTAATTAGAGGGGCAACTCAACTCATCTTTAGACCTTGGTGAAAGACTGCCAAGGACCTTCACTGAACACAGTTCACAAAGAAAAATAAATAATCATGGAGGATGTGGAATGTCAGTTATATTAAAGATGGTAGAATGTCTGAAGAAAATGCAGGAAGTAGGCGAGGTCACACATTGGAAACGCACTCGGTAACATGTGCATTGCAGACAACAGAAATAATATGATTGTAACAGTACAAGTTATCTTTGTTTTTGAACCACAACCACACAGTGCAGTGATTCAGACAAGTGCTGACCATGTCAAGACCTTGACAGAAATCAAGTTACAATAACAAAAAACAGAACACAAAGGAAGAAAGAATAAAAGAATGAAAGAAAGAAAGAATGTGAAGTTAGGAACAGAGGAGTAAGAATCATTACACAGAACTTTTATTTATAAACTTTCACTTGAAATTGCATGAAGAGACCTAGAATTTACAAGCCAATTATGACCTTGTTTTTTTAACAGGACAGTTTCTAAATAAAATCTGAAATGTTAACAATTGTATTATTTGGAACCAGTTGTGGTAAATACCCTATAGCTTGTTAATGTAATGCTAGTCATCTAAACAAAATTTTGTTCACTGCAATGTCAAGTAAAAGTAATGCAGAAAGCACGAACTATGTTAAGTCAGCTGTCTCCTGTATTTAAATAGTTACTAATTTTCTTTTGGAACCAAGTTCACCAGAGATTGCAATGGATTTCTGTACAATATGTTTTAACAGGATATATCAAAATTAAATTTCACTTATAAAATTACTTCCATTTTTGTTAAACATTCAGTTTGAAAGTGTAAAAGAGCACAAACAATTTGGAGATGTCAACTTAAGGCTTAGTTGTGCCATCAGCAATGAGTGAGACACTGGAACTAACAAACCACACCCAAGGCAAAGCATCCAGCATTACAGAGAAGACAACAGCAAGCAGGTGCAAGACCAGAGCCTTACCTTGCCATGAGCAGGAGGGGTGATAGGTGTGTCTGAGTCACCCCCAAGTCCCACTGTGGGAGACAGGCGGGACTCTGGTGTTGTTGAGGGAGGGAGACGCTGCTCCTGAACAGAAGCCAGCCTGCAGAAACAATGCCCAACACTTGTATTACAATGTGGCAATAACAGTCTACTTGACCACTCAAAGAATACATTGTTAACCTTTAACATCTGCAGTGCACTGATTAATACATTGATGAGTATGATCGTCTTAGCCAAAGTACCCCAAGTTGTGCATTAGGGCATTTAAATGCCACTAGCTGAAGCTTGCACACACACTGCTAGTAGAAGCGTATGCACAATCCTAAATATTTATTTTAAACATAGTAAAATTCAATATACATACTTTTTGTTGTTATATGCTTGATATATTTACAGGCTTCAACCCCCACATCATGTCACTGAACCTTGCCTTTGTGTAATACTCCTTGAAGCATCCAAGAAAACATGGTCCCACGTCACATATCTTGCATTTTGACTGCCTTTCAATTTCATCATCCTCCAAACAACGTTTCACTGCCGTTGTATGACAAAATGAAATGACAGTATTCAAATTCACTATGAACTCACAGATAACTGAATATATTCTGTATCTCAGCTGCAGTGCAAACATTTGGTTGAAACTATAGAAAGGGCAACTTTCTCTTGCAGCTGCAATGGCTGGGCTTGGCACTGAAGCAGGGAACAGAGAACATTCCCTTTAGCCTATCTTGAAAGACACACTTTCACATTCTGTCCTTTAGTCACAAAACTCGTATATCTGAAGAGTGTGACAAAGGGGTGAAACTTGCCAGCAGAGAACAAAATGACTTTATTGCTTCCAACTGTTTCATGGCACCAGAGAATGTGAAAATATTCCAAGTGTTATAAGCATGAATGATTTTATAATGCAGATCTACTATGTGAAGAAGTGGGAAACTTTCTTTATGGTATGCACCAAAATTACAAGAAAAAAATAGTTTATAACTTTTTGTCTACACTTTTCGGATCTTATGTTATAATATATGATACTGTGTTCTTTGCTGATAAAAACAAAGTTAATTCCATTCATTTATCATAAAAATTGTATTAGATACAGCATTTTCAAATACAGTGCAAGCATCCTAACAAGAATAGGCATTTAAATGCACCGCAGCAGCAGGTATTTAAGTAAACTCTGGCCAGCTCAAGCTACCATCATTTCAGAAGTCCGGCATTTAAAGGTTAAGGAAACTGAAGGTTCACTGTGACTACCATGCAGTGGAATCTCAGAAATCTGAACTTCCAGTAATACAGACTGACTTACAGTACCACAATCGCACGCAAGCACACACATGCATGCACGCACATGCACACACACAAACCAGGCACCTCCAGAAATTACAAAATTAATCTGATTATTTTACTTCTCTGCAGTAAAAATGAATACATGTGACACATGATATTATGTGTTAAAGGACATGCCTCTCTAACTGGTGTAAGATATAAGCTAGTTACCACTTGCCTCAAGCCTGGCATGTAGTTGAATGTCTGTGGATTCTGGTCATTGCTTATAACATAAAATGTACTCATATAAACCTCTGAATAAAAAATTTTACTAAAGAACTGAAATTTTTTATAATCCAAATGATTCAATGGTCTGAACATATCAGTACTCTAATTACTTAAAATTATCAAGTTGCATTGTACCTGATCTTATTCTGTTCTATCCACTCAATATAGGCACACTTCCTCCCCTAGGATCTACTATAGTATTATCTATGTAACAGAAATAACATAGGAGCAAAGTCTGCTTGAGCTAATATGAGCATGAGAAAAGTAGTATGTATCACCTCTTGAGTGTAACTAGTGTTCCTGTAAGCTTCTTGCAGCGTCTCAACGCACTTTCCAGTCTCTCTGGCTCTTCCTTCAAAAACCTGCACACACAAATGAGCTGCAAATTGTTGTGTTGTTGTAAACCATGTGTGATGGCCAGTTTTTTCTTCTAGATTCCCTGGAGGTCAGTGATTACATGAAATTCACACATTTTGTAATGCAGCAGATATGGTTGTCAACTGAATGCTTATTATATGTATATTAATTACTTCTTGATAGAATGTTATCAGTCTTGTAATTGTTAAAAAATCTGAATATAAAAACAGGAACTTCAAATATATATTTAATTTTTAAACCATTTCCGATCTCAAGACTTATAAGAATGAACATTCATACATAATTTGCCAGATCAGCTAATCATGTGTGAATTCAATGTGAAGTTCATAACACATTTGAGTGTTTGATATAAGACCCAAAACAGGGAACTGACACTTTTATGTGTTAACAGAAGGAAACTAAATTTAATATGTTGAATGAGCAAAAAATTTACAGGATCCCTTACTCTACCTCTCTCCGGTAAAGAATTGCAAAATATCAATGCAGGTAAAGAGGATCTTTGGATGATCTCTTTTAGAGACAGGTTAAGGTACAAGGTAAAGCTTTCCCTGTAACAGGCCGTGAAGGCCCATAGGGTAGTGAGACATTAAGACTGTCACATTTTCTAGACAATCGGCTCACAGATGGCGGTAAGGTTGTCAGCCTTACATGCCAGCCCCCTTTATCCCCAGGAAGATTCCTGGAATTAATTTACGATAGAGGCTGAGTCAACCTGAGAGCCATAGTGCGGCTGGAAGAATTATGTCAACTGAAAAATATCCACCTCATCGGGACTTGAACCCGCGACCTTCCAGCTTGTAGCAGTGCCTCAACCAAATATGCTACCATGTGTACCCTTTAGAAACAGGTTCTGTTATTTTATATACCTATTTGAAAAACCGAAAGTTTGTTACAAACTCACTTTTCTTCTCTGACAACTTTCTCCATTTCAGATGCTAGCAATCCCTTCATTCCTTCCTGCAGACTTGGAAACCGCACTTTCAGATCTGCCACGGTTTTACTGCAACAAGGGCAATTTGATGTCAGCAGGTTTGAGCAACCACCAGATCACCACCTAATGTTTCATTAAGGACAAAAACATAATAATATACAAGCAAGGGGAGGGTATATTATTGAAAATGTAAAAAATTTAAAACCAGACACAAATCTGTAGTAGTGAGACAGATCCACGTAGAATTGAGAGGTTATCACAGCAGTGGTTATGAAGAGTTCTATCCTCTGGGATACAACACCATGTAGTTTATTTAAAGTAAACTGACACTTCAGAAGAACATGTTGCCCACATCTTCATGGTTTCTTTCTCCCTGCTTCATGTTGGTTTCTTGCTTGGCTTACCATTCAGTCCCGAAGATGTTCCTCCAAAGTGTCAATTTACTTTGAATGAATAATTTTCAGTGGACTACACACACTAAATCCCAGATGACAAAACTCTTCAACACAGATCCAGTCCATTTTAAAGTGCAAACTCACTTTGAACTATTTGTACAAGAGTATTTGGCTGCATTGGGTAGACAATTCAAAGGGATGATGCTAAGAAGTCACTGTCTTTACAAAACAATAAGATAAAGCTCCTTCTTCTTTTATGTTAATTGAAAAATTGAAGACCTTATATTTTAAATGAAGAAATATGTGTGAAAAAAAAAGACTATTTCTGGGAAAACAGACATCTTACAGCAACATGTCTAAAAAATTTATGTCCAGAGTACCATACCCAAATGAAAATATTTCAAAAGTACTTGTACATATACTTGTTGAAATTCTGTTAGTCTTACTGTGACATTCACTCACAATTTATGCAGGTCTATTATTTCTCAACCTATGACTCCACTTTCAGAAGTATGTTTCATAATGAAAGAACACCCGTCAAATGTGTACACACATTCTGAAATGTTCTTGCAATACCTCAATCACAGAATGATGCATTAAGTGAAAACTGTCTTCAGAATAATCTCACTACAAGAATTTCAAGCTTCTGTGAGTATTAAGGTATGCTATGGTTACTAAGGGTTGCACAGTTTATGGTTGTCCAGTAACATATTATGATGATTATTAAGAACTGATTAAGATACTCGTACAATGCACAGTATTGGCATTAATACTAACATGTTACTGTTTCTTTTGGGTGGGTGAGGGAGTCAATTGCTGTACAGCACTAAATCTTCAGGGTTGAAGGCTTCTACACTGAAGATGAAAGGGCAGGAGTTCCTCCAAAATGTTGGTAACCATCAACAAGATAAAGAGACTTGAAAGGATTCTACAATGGTGTATGCTGTACAGAACAATAAGGCTTATTTTGGACTCTATCCATCGTCTGGTATATATAAGACAAGAAACCACAACGTTTCGGAGACTGGATCTGTCTCCATCCTCAGGTGGATGGGGCAGGGGTCTTATATATACCAGAACCCACAAGACCACAATCTTTGAACTTGAACTTGTTAATTTTTCAGAACAAACAGTACAAAGCATCCCTGCTTACTTGCAAATAACAAAGATGTCTGACTGCAGCACTCAAATGTATATTTTAAAGAAAGTTTCAAGTGTCTTCGCTGTTTGCATCCTGCTGTGTATCATGATTTGTGGTATTATGGGTGCCAACACAACAATATAAAATAAACCTATCTAATTGTTTACATTGGTTTTATTTTTATAGCTGCTACATGTTTTGGTCCATCCACATTTTGGACCACCTTCAGGCAGTCTCTTTAGATACATCTCATGTTACTGAACTTTGTGACAGTTATGTATAATATGATCATAATAATTAACACTAATATGGATCCATATTAGTATATTTCAGTAACATGAGATGTATTTAATGAGACTGCCTGAAGACAGTCCAAAATGTGGACCGAAACATGTAGCAGTTATTAAATGAAACCAATGTATATACTTTGATTGGTTTATTTTTTACCGTTGTGTTAACAGCCAAGTGAATGATATAAAGTACATAAAACTTTAATAACAGGCAGAATAGCCAATTCATGGTGAGTAATTACAAAATATCTAAGTATATGTACATACGCACACAATACGAAAGACAATTTAAGAATCTATAGTAAAGATAATATTATTATAATGGCCTACTAATCACAATACAACATTTCATTGAGAATTAAGTATCATGTGAAATAGCATGAATGGTAATGGTGGGCAAAAAAAATATGTTAATTAAGGCTCTTATAATAAAACACGCAGCTTCAACACTGCCAGTAACTAAAACTGCCACACTGGATATATCTATGAACCAGTTCACTACAATTCATATTCTCACAATAATTTCTTTTACTTTAACTGTAATATTATTTCCCCATTTCTTCTCAGTTTTCAAAAAGGTTTCACCATTAAAATGTTTTATGAAATTCTAGTCCCTTTGATTTAAGCCAAATGTCAATTAACAGAATGTGAATGTGATACTGACCTAGATTTGCTGAGTATGAGTGCCATATTCTCTACATCCGACATGTTGACCCGAGTCTTCCTGTTGATAACATTTCCACGTAGTTCCTCCACAGTACTCTCTAGTTCCCTGTATGAACACATATTGATAACAATGGTAACACTGGTCTGCTACCATCATTCCTTACATATTTTGTTAAACATGTAGGTAAATTCAAATGATGATGATGCAACACTTTGGTACAAAGTGAAAGATAAAATTACTTCCAGTGTTACTACAAATGACTCTATTTCAGTAACTTTGAGTATAGGAAACCCAAACTCCTAATTTAAAGGAAGAATGCCATAATAAAATAAATGTACCTCTTTGCCTATTATACACTAGTATGATGATCAAGGATCACTTGGGAAGCTACATGAATTAAGTAGCAAGGAAAAACAGAAGGCCATAAATGTAGAAATATCTGTCTGAGACTTCAGCACAAGGCAGTTTCTGCTAACTTACGTCAGATCCTTCTCTAATCGCAGCATCTCCTGCTTGTAGGTATCTTCTTCTCTGTTGAGTCGCACCTTATCTGCATCCCCCGAAATGGCCCATGCCTCTTCACCCCCAATCAGGAGCATTGCTCTACAACATAGCATTTGTTAAGCCTGGCAGATGAATAATTGCTGATACCAACATATGGTGGGGATACTTCATAGAATTCAATGTGCAGACATGACACAGACAGTGCTATGAATTGAAAGTTAGTTCAATGCAAGATGCAAGAAGAGAACAGAGTGCTGGTACAGTAAAACGAAGATTGACAAGACAAACTGTCTTTGAGATCATAAGTGGTTACTGAAGGTGAGACAGTACCTGTTCCAGAAATCAACAAACATCAGAATGGGTGTCAGAAGCCTGATCAAAGAGGGATCCAGCAATGCAGATGGTTTTGGAGAAACTGAAGACCTCAAAAAGGTCATACATGCCAACCAACAATAACTCAGAAAGCAGATAAGCATTGGCCAAAACAAACTGGGTGGCCTATCAAAAAGAAATGAAAAGCGAAATAAGTGCTGTAAAGGCTGACCACAGCGAATCTGAAGAAACAGTAACAGACATACGTGGTCTGACAGTAAAGTTCGAGAACTCATTGCAGTCAAAGTGCTACATACCTCATTGCTGAATATCACTGTGGTCGCTTTCAAAGTACTCCCCTTGGGAAGCTATGTACCGATGCCAGCACCTAGTCTACCCTTCAAAACAATTTTGGAACTAGTTTTGGTGGAATGGCCTTCAGAGCTGCTGTCATATTACTCTTGATATCAATGATGTCATCAAAATGCCTTCCTTTTAATATTTCCTTTATCTTCGGGAACAAAAAGAAGTTACTGGGGGCTACATTCAGTGAATAAGGAGGGTGTTCCAGCAGTTACTTGAACTGCCTCACAGACAGTGCCATGTGAGCAGGTGTGCTATCAAGATGCAAGATCCATGAGTTGCTGGCAAATAGTTTGGGTCATTTCCATCTAACACAGCCTTTTCAGTACTTCCAAATAGCAAACTTGGTTTACTGTTAGTACAAACTCATAATGAATAATCCCTCTAATATCAAAAAAAAGTTAGCAACATTGTTCTGACTCTTGATTTGGACTGACAGAAAATTTTGTTAGTGGAGAATTAGCAGTCTTTCACTGTGCACTTTGCTGCTTTGTTTCAAGGTCATATTGTTAGACCCATGTTTCATTACCTGTGATGACACATGTCATTTTGCTTGGCAAATCTTGATTCTTTGCTTGTGTTCTTCGGTGAGCTTCTTTAGGAGCATTTTTGCACACACCTAACTGTTTCTCTGCCATGCTCCTGACAGTCAGCCGACGATTTTCATGCATAATTTGATGAATTTTTGCAATGTTTTCTTCAATTCTACTCATTGCTGGCCATCCTGACCTATCTTCATCAGTGACACTTTCTCTTCCCATGGAAAAACGTGTCAACCACTTCTAAACTGTTTTCTTCATAGCATTAGCCCCATAAACTTCAACTAACATCTCTCTGATTTCATTTCCACTCCTGCCAAGTGTAACAAGAAATTTAATGTTCATTCATTGCTCCAATTCAAGCTCCGACATTCTTGCAATGGCATACAAAAACACATTTATACAATAATAGACCCCAATCAGAAAGAGACTGCCATAGATCAACAACAATAGAGCTGTTGAACGCTGATATCCCACCGTCATCAAACCATGCTGAGGTTTCTGTCCACTGCTGCCATGCAAGCACACGGTGGCGAGTTCACGAACCTTATTGTCATACCTTGTAAGGTCTATAAATTCATGATGGTGGTATATTAATATAGTCATTGTGTTTCTGGACATTATTCATTGTCCTGCTTTTATTTAAAACAAACAACGTTTCAGAGACTTCATTCTGTTCCTGTTTACAAGTGGAACATACTCAGTTGGGCCCCATCGATAGAGCTAGTCCCTATCACCGAAGATAGGGACAGAAACCAGTCTCCGAAACGTTGTGTGTTTCAAATAAAGACAGGATGAGGGTTAATGTCTAGAAACACAATAACTGTAATAGCAGACATGCTAGACATTTGAAGAGCAATATGGTAGTGTATGAACAGTAGGCCAAGAATCCTTATGACAGTTGAGTAATAAGCTGTAGGGGAGACAACCTATAAGCAACACACTAGGAGTTTGAGATGCAGCAGGTTGCAGTCGAAGCTCAAACAAGACATGGAGACTGCATGAACACAGCGAGCAGCACCATCACGGTAAAGCCACTGACAGAACCACATCGGGGACAGTGTTTCACTGATAGTTGAAGGCCGTGTCCAATCACAACAGCTTAGCAGCCCGTAAGAAGGCCATTCTACAGGGGCAAGCAGCCAACATCCTACACAGGGTTCCAGCCAGAGCAGTATATAAACACATTACTGGGTGGCATAAGCGTCAATATGGAGACCACAAGTTGGCAGCGGCCTACAAGTCTCCAATTAGAGCCAGAACCTAGCTGAGCAGTGAATCACTACTAGGATTCACAGCAGCCATCGAGCAGTTGGCCCACTGAGCCCTTGTTGGGCCACCAGAGGTCTTCATCCAGAGGGAGACAGCCTATGCATTCATCAATCGAGAGGACAAAAAGTGAAACAGCACTCCATCATGAGTGGTGAGAGGTCTCTCAATGAAGCCCTTAAGCAAACCCTGAGCCTAGAAGCTGCAAAGGTGGCAGCTACACAACCAGAAAAGCTGCAGGAGGTAAGGGCTGTAACTCCCACTAGAACATGGTCACTAGTGACCCATCAACACAGGATTGGACAACATGTATGTTGTCAGTGTGGGGATGTTGTGGACCTCAGAAGAGATTATCAAAACAGACATGACATTGATTGCTTGAGAGGGTGCCAAACAAGATTTTAATTAAATTCAGACTGTATAGGTATGGCCTTTAACCAAAAGAAACATAAGCTGAGAGTCTTCTTTGGTATGTGTACCTAACACCAGAGGTTCATAGTTGGATCTATCAACATTGCAAAGCCATTGACCCACCTCATGAAAGGAAGTGGACTTCCCAGTGGTCTCCACAAGCAGAATCTGCCTACCAGTCCCTGCAAAAGTAGTTGTGTATCACACCAGTTACACAACATCTGCAGTTGGGTGAGAAGTTCATTGATATGGATACAAGCTATGTGGGGACTGTGAGCATGCTGTCACAAATGCAGGAGGGAAAGGAGTATGTAGATGATAACTATAGCAGATCTTGTTCAAGGGTGAGAGGGACTAATGAATGACTTAATGGGCGTTACTGGCCAATGTGCACATGTTGGAATAGTGTTTATTTTATTTATTTATTTAGTATTAGTATTAATATTAATCTTTGACTTGTCCCATATCATGTATAATGATCCATGGATGAAATAAAATTGAATTGAATTGAATACATCCAAAAATACCTCCATGGACTAGAATTTCATCTGTGTCCTGACCACTCTGCCCTGACATGGTTCTGTAGTTTCAAGAACCTGGAAGGACAAATGGCCTGCTAGATCCAATACCTCCAAGGGCACAATTTTACATTCAAATATTGTCAAAGGTGGAGCCACACCAACATGGATGCACTCTCCAGAAAGCCATGCCTAGAGGCATGTGCTCAATGCTCAGAAAGTTGAACACCAGGCATCCTGAAGGTGTGTTATTATTGCTGCAGCTATGGATGGTTGGGACCATGTTGCTCTGAGGAGACAGCAGCAGTATGGCGATGATGTGGGGCCAATTCTAAAGGAATTTGAGGCTACAATTACTGGGATCAGTGGAACTCCATAGTGGTGAGAAATGACAAACTGGAGCACCACTGGGAGTCAGCTCATGGATGGTGCAAGAAAACCAAAGAAATTCTTCACTGAAGCATGTTGAAGGAAGGGCTGGGGAGCTTCATGGATGATCATCAGGAGGAAAACTTGGCATCATCAAAACCACTCACAAGGTAAGATAGTGATACTGTCAGCTACATGCAAGGAGCAATGTTGACAGCTGGGATCAACAATGCAACACCTGCACAGCAAGCCAAGGTCTTTGAACCTGAAGCCAAGGCCTCATGCACCAGTATAATGTCAATGCACAATTCGACAAGATCATTATCAGAGTCATAGGACCCTTTGAAGAGCCACATGGCAAATCAACACCTCATGATTGACATGGACTACTTCAGCAAGTGGCAAGAGGCTTATGCCATCCCTAACCAGGAGGAATTTACAGCAAGTTAGCATTCTCATGGCCAATTTCTTCTGCCACTTCAGGGTCCTGAGGGAACTGCACAGTGCCAAAGACTTCAACTTCATGTCATGAACCCTGCAGGAAGTTTTACAGAGTAAACTGCAAAAGCCTGTGTAGGCAATCATTTTAAGGGCCCAGGAATGCATCAAAAGTCCTTTTGGCAACTGATGTTCTCAAGCAGCCACACATGCAAGTCCCCATTAGGCAAGAAGTTGTTTAGTCAATAGCAGGCTTGTCAAGGCAACATTACCCACAACCAGATGGATAACAACCCAACAACAGTAGTAACATCTGAAAACAAATTATACACCAAATTGGCCTCTTCTTTCTATCTTTGCCATATCCAGTTTCATGACCTCTGCTGTAATATTTCCTTGTAGGGAATTACAGCTTCTTATTCACAGCTTTAGTGCTTTTCCACACAAAATTGATGCAGTTCATGGCTGCTTACCTTGAAATGTACTGTCTCACTTTTGCTCTCATCTGCATGATATGGCATGACTGCTAGTATTTACTGCATCTTAGAGACATCAACCTATCAAGAGCTCAAAGCGAAAAGCATATGTTCTGGGATATAATGCCATGTAGTCTGTTGAAAGTCAACCAATGTTTCTGAGGAACATATCACCCACATCTCCGGAGTTGAAGACTGAGCCAAGCAAGAAACCAGCATTAAAACTCTGCTTGTCACCTGCTTTCACACTGGTTTCTTGCTTGGTTTATTCTTTGACCCTAAAGATGGAGGCAATATGTCCCTCCAAAACAGTAGTTGACTTTTAACGGCCTACACGGCATTATATCCCAGAAGATAGTACCCTTCATAATCATCTCTGTGAGAACTTCAAATTCTACAACAGCTTAAGTGTTTGAAAACAATCTGTATATTTTGTACTCTGTGACAACCTCCATTATCTAATTCTGAAAATAAGGGGAGAAACTTAGTCTTTCATTCAGGGAAATGTGAAAGTAAATCAAAATACAGATTTCATGTAGGGATTGGACTTTGGTTAACTAAACAGGGGTAAAACACTTAAATGGGTAAAACTACACATTGTTCATGAAGGAATATGCATGGGACCACAATAAATGAACACAAAATGGGGGATCCCTTAGATCGAGAAAACTTAAATCAGGATTCCACTATTTTTACTGTTTTTATGCACTCTAAAATAGCTTGTTAACCTTACACTATTTCTTTATGGCCTATTCATTCTGGCACACTCACCTCATATCAGTTTCCCATATAATGTGGTAACTACATGCTACTTTCCCAGTCTATTACATAACCTCACCTGATTTTCATGAAGGTGTCACGTATTGTCTCACGCACTGAATGTGCTTGAGCTTGTGACATACGACGAAGATTACGAACCTCCTGGCGAAGATCTTTGGCTTTCTTCTGCAACCCACGGAGTTGGTTGTACATTTCAGGTGTCAACTGCAAGTCTGTCAACACGATATTGTTCAGTGCATCAGTTCATATGATTATCTGATAAACGGGTACAGATCACCCAGCTAGCAAGCAACTGTAAGACAGACTGCTGGAAATAAAATAAGAAATTACTTTAGTCAAACCCTCAAACGTTTGTGGTAAACTGTTTATATTCTAAACATCACCTATCTTATATGGGATCAAATGGTAGTTTGTGAATTTCATGGGCTCTACCTGGTGCTAATGTTTCCCACAGAAGTTGGCACAAATTGTAACACCATGGTTAGCATTTGTAGTTGCAGTTGTGATTACAGTGTTGCTGTAAGGTGTCTTTCAACACAGCCATTTGCTCTGACTGTCTGACTGCCCAATATTTTATTACTTTCACCATCCTTGAAAGCTTTGTGTTTTATATAATCAGATAATTTTTAACCTGTTTATTACATACAGATAAGAAAGCTTGAAGTCAGATAATTTCAAATATGTTTTTACAGGCAGAGATGATGAAACAAACAGTTCTTTTCTTTTTAATATATTCAACAATGAAGGTCACTTCCATTATGGACAGCATGTAACATGTACAGCAACAACTCACCCCTGTAAACATGTCTGCCCTCATACTGCCCTGGTGAGAGTGACACTGGTTTTGGCGGAGGTGCAGGTTTATGCCGGTCACGTTCTGTCCGCTCTGTACAACAAAGAGGAGGCACAATTCACACAATTGTATTACAGCAGTATAAAAAGACAAAATAATTTTTTTCAAAATGCAAACACCTATAAAGTACAAGGATTCAAAATTATACCACTCTTCCACTGTAAGAAAAACTGTAACACCACCATGATGACATACTTTGTTTAATGATGCTCTATCTACTAACATTAAAACCACAGTTACTCCTGTCTGTAAACACAACATTATGGAAGTGTATATATGATGAAAAGTTAAAGCACAATGTAATCTTCGATCTTGACACAAGATGGAGATGAGGGGCAGTTTCATTCTTCTGTTGCCACCATTACCTTAGGGAAAGACCTCCCCTGTATATGTGGCATAACAGGGTAGATGAGCCCCAAAGTCAACCTGACTGAAGTATTGAAAAAGAAAAAGTTCCAATTCCTCTGCTAAGAATCAAACTCAGTCTCCAGACAGTTATTGTGTTAACTGAGTCACCAAGTCTGCAATTCAAATAATACACAACTACAGATGGTGAACTACGACACAGTTTGCAGCAAAGTGTTTGTGGGAATGAGCAAGGGGATTCCATCCACTTACAACATACACTTTAAACCATTCTGAAGAATTATCTTTACCTTGAGATGACATTCTAGGGAGTGTTGAAGACTTTATCGCTGGTTTAGGAGGTTTCGAGTCCGCTGGGGTAAGCATTCAAAGGACAGAACAACCAATCATTAGCATATTACATGCTGTTAATGCCTGATCCATTGCATCATTCAACACTGATTCTGCCATCCCAACTCTGCAGAAATTTATTGTATCTGAACAAACGTTACCTGCCAGTCCTGAGGAACCTTAATCCCATATGATACCACTCAGAACTGTTTTGTACAATCTTAAACCATGTAAGTTTTGAGGTTTTCACGGCGATGACAATGAAGAAAGTTGTCTTCTGGGTTTAGGCACCGTGTATTCTTCGTTTTGGCCGACGTTTCGGAGGATGGAGGCGCTACGTTCCTCCGAAACGTCGGCCAAAACGAAGAATACACGGTGCCTAAACCCAGAAGACAACTTTCTTCAATCTTAAACCATGTTTTGATAAAGTACAAAGTCTTGTAACCTTGATTATCCAAATAATTAGCATGATATGTCCATGCTATGTATGTCAAAATAACAAAGTACAATCTAAGTTTAAATGTTTCTGACAATGTTGCCCGACTATTATGTTGGATATTTTTGACTGTCTTGAGTTCTTTTGAGCACAATATGTCAGAAACTGGATCTGATTCTGTCATGACATGTAAAACAGGAAATGTTCCTACTCAGTTGGGTGTGTTGGGAAGAGCCTGTCTCAATCACTGAACTATGTGATTGAGGCTAGCTCTTTGTAAAGCACCCAGATGAGTGGGGCGCCATTTTTTCTTCCACCTGGCGATGGAAACATCCAGTTTCCCAAATACTGTGTTTAAAGAAACTCAAGGCAATGGGCAGTGCCTAAAACAGAAGTCATGTATGCAAACCAAATACAACATTCTCTTCAGTTACACTGCTAAAAACAATTAACGTATACATATACCAGTCAAAATAATTGCAAATTTAAGGATTGATTTATGAAGGAAACTGGCACAGTCAAAAGGTTTTGAAGCTACATTTATTCCTAAGAACATTTCTTAAAGAAATTAATGTAAATACTTTATTTTAGAAGAATGGAACAAAATACTGGGAACCAAACTTAAGAAGAATAACAGAGACAGGTTTAATTGTGTGTAGAATATGACCATACTTTAAAGGTAAGTAGTAGTTGGGCTGTCCGGATTCTGATCAAGTTCCATATGGACTCGCCCATAGCAGTGATGTAAACTTGTAGGATTTACATCTACAGGGACCAACTCCATCCAAATCCAATTCCAATGATTATGAACAGCACAATGTAATGTATGTCTGTGGCACATTACACCAGCCATGATCTAATCAAATTTTCTGACTATTTCCAACTTAGCAAAGGAAATAAATATATTTCTGAGATGTAGCTATCCACACAGCACACTCCACTACCCATAACGATACGATTATGAGGTGTCCAACAGACAGCATCTGCAGCTTAAAGTAAACTTGTTACTCTCCACTGAAGTGATCCCCAAATACTAGGTCTTCAGACAATCTGTGGAAACCTATAACGACGAAGTTTAATCTTTCAGAATTCTTGAATGAATAACATTACGATGTTAAGCCAAATATGAAGTTGCTTTAAGAGTGCAATACACTGAATCAACACTGGAACAAGTAAACTGTATTTATGAAGCCCCCAGAACCTAACACATGCTTTCAGAATGACTGTATGACAGAAAATAAATAAGTTGTCTACAGTACATTGTTGCATTTGCGGTAAAGCAAGGCAGAGATGTAAATTTGTTGTCTCACAATAATGGTTTAGTTTTGTTCTCATTGACATATCAAAGCTGTGAAGAATATATATATGTAATATTTACTTTCCTTTGACTACTTTAACTCCACTGATTTGTTCAAGTGTTGTTACCTGTGGCAACAAACTACGTTTGTATTTCATTGTCCATTTTATGATTGATCATGGCTAAAGGGAGGTAGTTTAATGAAAATATCAAGCACAGTCACAGTTGACACTGAAGTGGCAAGCAAATTCAGGCTTCAGGATCACACCAAGGCCATAAGTACAATGATCCAAACATAACAGTACCCTTGTATAGGGATATTGTTATGACAGCTGTACGTAGTAAAAATCAGAAGTGCTGTCAATTTTGTTTGTCTTGGGGGGGGGGGCATAAGCATTGGTGATATGAATATAAATACATTATGTGTAACAACACGTTACTGTACAGTTCTAAGCTCCCTGGTAAACTTCATAGGTACTGTGAAACTACTCGCCCAGAATGCACAACCAAATATACAAGTTTGCTCAAGAAGAAACTTGAGGCACTAAAACAATGTCAAAACCTGATTAGTAAGATGAAAAAACAGATAATGTAAATGCAACCACAGTCACAGAAACTCTAATTATGCCTGATCTATTGAAATGGCAGTATGATTGATGGATGAGCAGATACAATTTACATGGAGAAGATTCACCTGTTTCAAAACTGTGAACTATAATATTCAAAGTTTGTCTGTTGATACAGACCATAAGCTATTAACGCAACCTAAATGACTTTCCCTTGAAAATCAGTGAACAGAAAGGTGTATCTGGACTAGCACCATTATTTGCATTTTCCATTACTGCTACAAGAATAGAATTCAGGAAGCATTGCTGTGTAATAAATCTGTAGGAAGTCACACTACTGGTGAAGACACTTCTAATGTGATTGATATCTGCATGAAGGAATATGAAAATCAGCTGGTAATAGTGTGTCAATTTTTGTACAGATGGAGTCCAAACAAGTTTCTGGTACCATCTCCTTGGTCAGTCACCACATGTTTCACAGACAAGCAGTTGTTAGAATGATATAGACAAAATGGAAATATGAGTTACACGAAGCCCTAAAAATAACCACATTAAATCCAGGCCTTTAATGTGAAGTTACGAGGAGGAGGAAGTCAGCAGTGAACATACACTGCTGCTGCACACAGAAGTAAAATGAATCTAGAGAGGAAAATTTCTTTTCCAAGTCTATAAATTCCACTCACTGCACTACTTATTAGTCACGTTACTAGAGAGTTAACCTGTTGAGAATTCAGCAACATTACCTTTTAAAGTATGGTCTGTATATATTCTGTAAACTGTTTCACAGATGTAGAAGAAATCAGACAGGAAATAAAGAGACCTGAAAATGTATTCTAGTTAATATAAATGAAACCATGGAATGAATAAGCGTTAGCACTTAACTGGTTAATCAAGGTTCTATGCTATAGATTTTGTCAATGACCCTAATTACCTGCGTGCTGTGGAGAATGCTGTTTAGGCGAGTTCATGTCAGGGGGCTCATCAGAAAATGAAACCGACTTCTCAAATGAGACTGACTTATCTGCAATGAACACCAGTTACATGCATATCAATATCATGCTCTTGTTAATAAATCTCTGCATGCAAAAGCATGTTGAATGACACCAAACAATCAGGTCATGCTTCTTAGAGTAATAATTATGTCACTAATTTCTCAAAGCACCTCATGAAGCAAATCCACTGCCACCTATCTCCATGTGCAAAACATGAATTTACAAAAGTGAAACAAATAACAAAACAACACAAAGAATATTAGTGCAGTAATGTTTTGCTGACTTCTGAAAAATGTAAGCATGTTTCACATTTTTCATGCTACAAAAATATACATAATTTTCAAAAGACTTTTCATATCTTGATAATTTGAATTAAATATTTCCATCATCCTGAACTTATAAGTTTCCATGAAATCATACTAAAGAAATCTTTTTGCTAAAAATCTCCAAATGGAAACCATGAGTGTGCCCAATGCTTTCTGGCCGAATCACATCAATAGTTTTGGACTCTTCATTGAATTAGGATGGTATCATGTATGCAGGCCTAAGCAATTTGTTCAGAAAAGCTCTCTAATTATCTTTGTAAGAACAAGGATTCTGAAAAGCTGGAAACAAGAAGTATTAACAACACATTTACCTTACTGCACTGGTGCACAGTAAATGCTTCATGATGTGGCCTGTACTATTAACACCATTCAAATTTCCACTGTCAATTGATTAAATTGTTACTTACTAAATACTGTACAGATGATAGAAAATTCTCATTATCACCACTTCACTGAACATCTGATGTTCTTATTTTATTTAAGGAAGATTATTCTTGTCGTTGACATGCAATCTGCTCATATTAACTTATTACTAATATCTGTTAATTTCAGTTAGACTGGTACATTATTTTGCCAAAGAGAAGCTTAAAAAATAAAAATTCCTGTAATGTCTCAATATCAATATTTCCATCATAAAAAGAAAAAGAACTTATTTTAACTATATTTGTGAGGATATATAAGTATTTTTTTCCTCCACACCTAAAATTTTCAGCCCCATTTGTGTGCCACTACATTCTGCTTCAGTGATGTGTGGTTTCAAGAAAGATGATCTATAGTGGGAGACAAATGAGATCTTTATTTAATAGAAATTGGAAATGTGTAAAGAATGGAGTTGCAACAGCCGCGCCATAACTCAAGTGGTTAGTCGCTGGCTTCCCACCGTGGCGGCCTGGGTTTGATCACGGCTCTGGTATAGTGGGATTTGTGGTGGACAAAGTGGCACTGGGGCAGGTTTTCTCCAAGTATCTCGGTTTCCCCTGCCAATCTTCATTCCACCAAATTCTCCATCATAATCACCCAGGGCAAGCTACAATAGACCAATCACTTGCTGCCGTGCCGAGTGGACCCAGTAGGACTCCACCCCCCACTAAGTGAATTAAAAAAAAACAGCAAATATAGTGTACAATTTATAGACCATGATTAGTAAAATGCATGGCTTGTATTCTGTACAACTGCTATTTTACCAAAAGGTACAAGTCATGATTTTGTGAGGCAGAAAAACCCCAGAGAACAGTCCAATCATCTTTCAAATTCACAGTCAGATAATGGGTAGAGGACATAGATCAATGTTAGCAGTTATCTGTACCACACAGAATTACTGGGTTTTTGGACTTTTTGTCCTGTATTCTATAAAATAGAAAATACAATGTTTCAGAAACTGGGTCTGTTTCCGTCCTCAGGTGAGGAGGGGGGGGGAGACACCTACTCAGTTGGGCTCCTTAGAAAAAGCTAATCTCAATCGCTGGTCAACCCGTCTGATTTACACAGCTATTTAATCACCTGAGACCAGGCTAATTCGGCAGGAGATAACAAGAAAATATACAATAAAAATTGTGATAAGAGCAAGCACTTTTGTGGAACTAGTATAGAAAAGGAGGCAGAAATTTGTGCTACAAATCTAGCCAATAAAACAAAGTGCATGAGCACCACTGCAAAGAAATGGTGAAAACAATTGTGAAGACATGTAGTCCCTACCGCTAGTGTTACCTGGTCTCAGGTGATTAAATAGCTGTGTAAATCAGACAGGGGTTGTCCAGTGATTGAGATTAGCTCTTTCTAAGGGGCCCAACTGAGGAGGTGTCCCCCCCTTCACCTGAGGATCGAAACACACCCAGTTTCCAAAATGTCATGTTTTCTATTTTCTAGAATACCAGACCATGGAAAATGTCCAAAAACCCAGTAATTCTGCATGTTATACACCATCATCAGAACCCTTTAGAATTTACCACTACTGCATCCCTAGGTGCCTAGGTCTATATTCTGATGATTAGCAAGATTTTCATTTCTCTCTTAAACATAGTCGCACATTTCACAGGTGAAAAAGGGAGAAACACCTGTGTTCATGCTGGCACAATGAAATACGAGGAGCGTATTTTAAATTCCCTAAATCTGTCACTTCCATCAGGGAGAAGGGAAAGATGAAAACTATGGGATTCACAAATAAGCGCTCTTCCATTACTCATATTAGGTATACACCCAAAAAACTGCCCTACCAGAATTTCCGTTTTCATACTAAAATATGAATACAACACCAAAGTGAGTCAACAAACAAAAGTGTGCTAGTTTCTTACAGCAGAGAGTGTGTAAAGAAACTGCCAATATTTCAATCTGCATCTGTTATCTCCAGCAAATTCATATTCACCAACTCCAACAGTCAGGTTGTTTGATGGATTACTGACTATGTGCATGTCAGTAAACATATGATATTGAATGATTACTTACTTCAGTCATAAATATAAGAAGTCTGGAACCATTTATAAATGTGTTCTAGCTGGATGGAATGGTCCTTTTAAAATTGCAAATTTACCTTAAATATGTGTTACAGCATCTATTATAGCAATCAGAAAGTAACCTACCACACAGACATGCTGAACAGCATGACTACATTTGCATCACAAAATTAAGAAGACTACTGGCCTCCAAAATTACAAAACTATATATATTATTGATAGAGATGTATCATGATACTGTACGAGGGTTATGATGTCACCAAGTCATGAATAATTGCCATATTTTTCAACAAGAACAGGGATGGTCCCTCCCTGAGCATGTACTGGAAGCCCCTGATCTACTCCCTGAAAGAACACAGAAAATCTCCTACTACTAAGAACATGCCACAATCTGGACCTTATTTGGGCCCACTGATAACTGCCCTTTTCAAAGCTTCCCTTCTCGTATCTCTACTTTCCACTCCTCCCCATTTTCCTGTTCTCTTACACATTTCCTTTATTTATTTGCTTATATTCTTAACTTTTCCCCCTTAATTTGCCTTGTATGCTTTTTGCTTTCTTTCTCATGGATAAAACAGTCCTCTTTTGCGGCCAACAGTTTCCACTGCTTTACACATTGCCTCAGTCTTAGTCTTTCTTTTCTTACATCATATATCATTTATTTTCTCCTTACTTTATTCATGTATCTTAAAGATGGGGGCACCAGGTTCCTCAAAAACTTTGGTACCTATATACAGTATGCGCCAAAAATACAGTACTGAAATAAAAAAACGTCCTGTTGACACCACTGTCCATTCATGTGAAGGCCCCTTGCATGACAGAGCCTTCTCAAATCCTGAAGAATTGGTCTGATCACCTTCTCCCTGTAGCATCCTTGGGTGATGGTAAGAGCATTGCCTTTCTCATCTTAGTACCAACTTTTGCAGATACAGAGTGTCACATGGTCTGCGCAACAGTTCCCCACGGCCATTAATCTTGGTTTCCTAGACAGCAGCCGGTATTTGCTTGAAATAGCTCCTCAATTATCCTCAAGAGGCTGAGTAGACCCCATTCCAGACCCACTATTTTTCATAAAATCTAGTAGTGCCAGGAATCGAACACGGGACCTCTGGATCTGCAGCCAGGAACTCTGACCACTAGACCACAGAGACTGTCAATAAATATGCATCGCTAAACGAATTCAAACGATGGAACTATAATTAAAAAGAAGGATATTTAAGGAGCCAATATAAGGTCCTGCTTCTACAAAACATTGTCTCAGTTGTAACTCCATACACACTACACCATGTTAACATGCTGTGGCATAAGAACCTGAAGATTCAACATCACAAGCACGAAAGCTCATTACCATACTCTTTTACTTGGTCAGCTGAGTACAGTTTATATCCTTAACATCTATTTTTCCAAGGTCATTTTAAAATCATCCTCACATCCCCCTCTTAATCTTCGAAGTGGTTTTCTCACCAAAATTCTATATACCTATTTACTTCCACAATATGTCATAAAATTCAACTTGTAACTTTCTTAATTTCTTGCTTCAGTAATCTCTTTCAGGTTCTCAGCAATTCATTTTCACCAACTACCCAACAAATGTCTTTACAATTACAAGGTCCCACTCCACAATGATCCAAAACATGGGAGTAAAATGGTTTAGATATATGCATCTTGTGTATTTTTTAAAACAGACATATCAGAATTATTAAAACTGTGTATTTCACAACCTTCTTGAATTCTCTGCACCATGATCCACCTACATTTTGTTGGCACTATGTAGAAATAAGAACAGACTATGCCTCATGATGGTGTCAACAGATGCACTGATTCAAGGTGTTAAGTACCAGAAGGATCTTTCCTTTAGACATGGTCTTGCAGCCCAATTCAAGAGCACATTAAACAAAACACAAATATAGTTTGTTGTGAACCTAGAAATCAATCCACAGAACAAAACACAAGGAAAGGAAAGCAAGTGCAACAAACAAGCACACAACATATATCTAACCTTTTCCCAACTTCGGGGGCTTGGTGTCTGTCCGCAAATACGAGTCATCTGCAATGAATAATTCTGAATCAGTTACCGTATAAGGGGCAGGGTGGAATTGTCTGGGCTGGTTCCTTTGTTTCTAGACAGGGATGCAAACAGGATAACTTGAACATGTAAAGAGCAGCTATTCATTATTTAATGTCCCATTAGCAGACAAAGTTACTAATATACTGCTATGACTAGTTTCATTTTGGGTTAGGTTTATGTCCATATTTTTAGATTTTGGGCTTCTTGCTTAAAACATCATATGGTCTTCTTCTGGATGAACCTCATATTTCCATCCTCAGAGTTCACTTCTACCCTAAAGACAGACATATCAGGTTTCTCTTGAATGTTTGTATCTTCCTATGAGAATACATCATGTCATAATCCAGAAGATCCAAATTAATGTATCTTAGATGCATCAGACTAATTTAATTTTTTGATACAAAGTGAGTTACAAATGGAAAAGACAGGTAAACTAATTTAAAATTTGTCAATCAATAATTTCGCCTTCTTATTTTGATTTAAACTATACAGATGAATAACTGTGGTCACAATGAATAATACTGGTTCAGAGTACAGTCAGTTATTCTTCAACATTCCTTTCTGCAGTTTTTAAGTATGTATAAATACACGAATATTCAATTTTATTTTCAGTTTCTTTAAAGCTCTATGTTATAACTTGCAGCATTTTTTTTATATAGGACTTAAAGCATGAAAAATAATTAATTAAAACTGAGAAAATCCTCCTGGCTCTTAGCTCATTATTAACACTGTAACCACATATCTGTTTTCTGATGTATCACGTCTCTCTGCTTCTATCAACATGTAACTGACGAAATTTAACAACTTCCTGATATTACAAACATCAAAAAACTCTGTTACTACAGAAGCTTCCAACCTAATGTACACCCAGACAATATGTTTCACTAAGATTCATGTGTTAATAATACAGTATATTCCCCTCAAGTGTTCAGTGTCTCAAGAACTTCAGATTTTGCTACCATAATTTCATATGAAAATCTTACTTTTCATATGCCTATACATGATATACACTAACACCTTTTAATTTAGCAATATATTCAAATGTTGCTAGCTTGTCAGACAAATACTAACATGAAAGGATCAAGTTCTTTGCAACCAGTCATTGTTATCATTGCTATAAGAAGTTTTCTTTTTCAGTTTATGGGAGTGGGGTGGGAGAGAGTGCACTTGGTATGGCGCCACTAGTGGATGTACTGTACCAATAAGATATGTGTGGCGTATTCAGTGGAAAGGGAATTCACAGAAGAAACTAAACTACTCAAGAGAAAATCTGCTTCACTGCCACTTCGTCAACCACAAACCTCACATGACCTGACATGGGATTGAACCCAGATCAACACAGTGGTAAGCTGGAGACTACCTGCCTGAGCTATGGGACAGCCATCACAAGAAGTTACATTTATTTCAACACATTTCGGTCCTCCTGAAGTACACAGTATTTACAGTTCCAAACCATATATTCCATGGCTTTAACAATGATTTGACTAATTCTTTAGTGGGTTTTTAATGTTTATATCCACCAAGCAAAAAGTCAATTCTACCGGTGACAGCAGTTTGGGGCAGCATGTTCACAGTAATCACTTGCCAACTGCAATTTTGCCAACCATGGATGAAGCATTCAGTATCCAGTTTTGCCACTGCAGTATTTTGTTTCATGCACTCATGGTTTTTAGTTTGCATACACAAGGAAAACATCAATGATATAAGAAGGGGATGAGTACAACTACTGTCATCATCACCCATGCTGTGGTCATCATGGACTTTGACTCTCACCAAGATAGCATATTTAAGGCATGTAATAACACTGACGATTCCTTTATTTTAAATAATACAGACTGTGTTTCTAGACTTAGCCTCTGTGTGGAATGCGAGTAAAACTGTAGCAAGAAATGATGCAGCACTAGTTGCAGCTGCTCTGCGAAAGGGAGGGGCCATGATTCACTAAAACTAAGGCCCTGTTATAACCAACATACACCCTACTATTCTTATCTCACTTGGTGGACTTGTATGAATCCAATGTGCATTCTGATCAGAACGGTCAGATCTAAAAATATGGACAGTATATATTATTTTAAGCATGTTATTACACACTCTGTGTCTAGTGAAGGAACAGGCAACTTCCCCTAATCAAAATTTCCCATAAGGCCAATCAAGGTTTCTTGCAGGAACAAAAACCTTGTAGTTCATGAGGACTGCTGTACTTTAATGTTTAGCATGGCTACTTGAAGACAGAATGAAAGTAACTGAAGAGTGACAAAATGTAATTATTATATATCTATAAATACTGCCATTAGCATATGAGGAACCACTACACTGAAAAACTCAGAACCAGCCCCATGAAGCACAACATGTAAGCGGGCATACCTGTCAAGTACCCTGCCTGTATCAAGTTTATGCTGTATGGTTCTGTCTTGGTGAAGCAACTACACATTTTAGTAATACTGTACATAATTCACAGACATATTAGCATGAGGCCATCACCAATTACTGTTAACTCATTTGCATGTATACAGTGACTCATAACTGATTTCAATGTTGGTCTAAGTATTTCTTTCATACAATATAACAGTAGAGAGGACAAGGACCCAAGGGTACTTCCTCTTTGCATGAACCACTGAGCAGCTTGATGGCCTATGGGCTTTGTGTTACATTCTTAGGTAACTGGATGATGTACGAGACCAGCATCCTACCTTTAAATTTCCAGCACAAGCAGTTATGCAGAATCAATAGAAATCATTTGTTTCTCTAGTGGCTCCATTTATGTGCATTTTGGCCTCAAAAACTTCTCCTACCTGATATGCGTAAGTGAAAATTACAAAATCATTGAAATATTTCAACAGTGAAATCTAGTATGATGCACAACTTGAATCTTGCAACTAGTTAACAGTATCTGGCACAAGATAACTTTCACTCAACCGCTGCCAAATTTTGAAGGATCCTGTTGTTTTCTCAACAATGGGTGCGTCAGTCACTGAAAATATCACAAAAGCAAAACAGCTTAAAATATTTATAAAAAAAATACTGAATAAAAGAATGCAGGGGAAAGAAACATACATTAAATGCTATGGAATATATCTAAGGAATAGAAATCCCTGTAACTAATGCACGTGAAGCAAATAAGCCTATTAGGTGTAATACAACACTTTTGACAATATACAAACATAAACTTTCAACACACCTACACACCTTGAAGGTCCACAGGTGCTGCATTCTCCAGTAGTGTCATTGCTGAAGCTGCTGTTGATGCTGATGTTTGGGGAAGGAACATGGATGTTTGGTAAATGGTCAGGAATTGCAACAAAACTTGACTATCTGCTGATAATCACAATGATGTGTATTTCCTTCATAAGGGCTTTTATACCATCTCTGAGATTAAGTAACAAAGTAACCAAGTACTGCATGTTCTCTCTTTGTCAAATTATATGTACATAAGTGAGAAAGAGTCAGAAAAAAAAAGGGCTAACAGAAACAATAAGAGGGTGGAGTTGCATTATCAAAATGCAGTGAAATATTTGTTAACCATCTTGTATGGGTTTTATACATACAGCATAAAACTAAGCATGCCTCACTGAAATTAATGTCTCTCTGCATAATTTAACTCCAATGGCTCCTGAAGAATTTTAATGAAATTCGGTATTCATTGTCACGCAAATTAATTTCACAGTGTTCCAACAAAATCCCTATTTTACATATGTATGAGCATAAATTCTCATTTTCTTCAGCATACACATCAATAGAAAATCATCTTAAAGTAAACACTGTAAATGTCAGTGATATCTGTATCATATTTTTGGTACGAAGAGCCATTTTTAGATATCTGATAAAATTCAATTTGATCTTGAGCAATATGAACGGACAATACATCCTCCCAACCTCTCTTCAGAATTACTATGGCCTCTTTCATTGGTAAGATCTTTTTCCTTTCTCAAATATTTACACATCATTACCTTGACAAGCTTCTAATGCAAATGATTAAGCATTATAAAACCATTAAAGAATCTGCAAATTAACATACAACTTTTACAGTTCAAACTCTCAGGTAGTCAGCCTGTAAGCATGAAAAGTTGCAACTCTTTGACAATATGCATAGGATGGAGCTACTGGTCAATGTTATACTGCCTGGCTTCCTGAGAAATTCTAAACTTGCAAGCAGCAATATAATTCCAAATACCAGATCACATAACAGCCTTTTAAGCCCAGAATGCATGCATTATCACATTACTTCTGGAGAAAGATTTTCTAATGTTGCATAGAAGAAATACTTCACCATGTCATTCCTGATCTTGCTTTTTTTTTATCCAAATTGTCCATTTGCATTTTAAAGGAAGAATTGTATAGGAAAATGTAAAATACCAAACAGCAGAATCATCGATTGTGCTGCATCTGGATTCCACACTTTACACTGTCTGGTGAGAAGGACCATAGCTCTCAAGACATAGAAACCCACAAATATCTTAGCACACTAAGGAGCATAACAAACATAATGACCAGAAGTGGGCACAATACCTAAACAATGCCAAAATATAGATTCCATAACACAATTTCTGACATCATCCAAAAGAAAGACCTTGAAAACTTTGGGCTAGGCTAGGATTTAGCCTCACCTTCAAGGAAAAAGAAACTGTATTCCTAGGTATAATGTTATGACCATGATCCTTTGCAAGTTATGATGATGTCAAAGAGTTGCATATGTTTACTGCAGCAGCAATATATTACCATCTGTCAGAAAATCAAAGGGATTATTATTCAAGACATCAAAGCATAATTTTTCTGAACAAAATTTCTTAATACCTGCAGGCTGGTCTCCTGTCTAAACTGCTCTACATTTAAAACTACACTTCATGAAGCTCTATTTAAGTTTCTGCATTACATGGCAGGGTAAGTCATATTTTCTCACTCTAAAATAACATATTCTTAGTAGAACAACTTATTTTACTATAACTTTAAAGGCTGAATCCAAATTTCACCAATACAACTAG